CGCCAACTGATGCGGGAAAGGGCGGACACTAGGAAGGGAACGCGGGGGGTGGGGTAGTGTCCAATAAAGAGTGTTTGAATCTGGATGGTTCCCACTTCTCCGCACTGCGCTGAGGAATCCAACGCCCGGGAAGCGCCCCCAGAATAGCCACGCCCTGGCCTGCCCCGCCCCAGAATAACTACGCCCCTGCCTTCCTCGCCGCGGTATAGCCACGCCCTGTCTACCCCGCCCCAGCATAGCCACGCCCTGCCAAGCATAGCCACGCCCATCTGCAGCATTGTCCCGCCCTATTCCATCATAGTCACACACCCCCTGCAAGCATAGCCACTACTCCTTTTGCCCCGCCCCATCATAGCTTACTCCTTGTCTTGCCCCGGGGCACCAGGTGGAAAGGGAGAGGGGAGACTTTAAACAGGGATCTCCTGAGACGGAGGCTGGCAGTCTACTCCACTGTTTTGCTTCCTTGAGTCTCAGTTTCCCCATCTGTAAAATGGGCTCAGCAATGACGCCTGCCTCACAAGTCTAAGGATGACTGATTATCACAGTATGTGTAAAGGCCTGGTGAGCGGTCAGCATTTGTAGACTAAGCGACCTGCCCTGTTGTCATGAGTGATGAAAGCCCGCAGTGGGACAAGGCTACTGTCCTGGGGGCTGGGGATGAGCACGTGGTCACTGCATTCAGCAGGCGCCTGGTAAGTGCACACGGGGTTCCCCTCCTGTGAGCGGGGTCCCCCGTTTTGTCGCAGACTCTCTGTCCCCCACCCGAGCCTGGGCGCGTGTCCAGCCGCCTCCGGCTGCCACCGGCTGCCAAGAGTCCCAGATGCTGGGGCGCCCATGCCAGCTCCCCACCCCCGCTCCAGTGGGGGCCCCTTCCTGCCCGGCCAGGCGGCGCCATCTGTGTTCGCCTGCGGAGGGGCAAAGGGGGAAACTGAGGCTTTGCAGACCGTGCTGGTCGTGGGGACACGACGCTGCCGGCGACCACAGGCAGCCTTCAGGACAAAGGCGCCGCTCGTTCCAGCCTCGCTTGGGTCCCCGGGGTCCCAGAACACCCTTGTCCCAAAGGGAAACTGAGTCTTGTAGGCTGCTGCCGGAGCAGGTGCGTGGAGGCGGAAGGGAGCTGGATTTGAACTTAGTGTCAAGGCTACCTAGACTCGGTCTGTGCAGAGAGGCGGGAGCCCCTGATTTCACCCTCGGGAATCCCCAGGCTGGGGTGCAAGGCTAAGGAAAGCAGGGCTGCTGGGAGCCCCCGGGAGTCGGCGGACGCCGCGTGTGCAAAGACCCTGGGACCCAGGTGGGCGGCTCTGGGGTGCTTTGGGTACAGGATCTCCCCGAGGAGGTGGTTAATGGGTGTCTGCTCCGGTGGAGGCCGAGCACTCACCCGACCCATGTCTGCGCCCTCTGCGCCCTCTGCGCCCTTCCTCTCGTCGCCCCCTCCTTTCACCTCCCACCTCCTCCCTCCCACTTCCTCCCTCCTGGCTCCTCCCGCGCTCTCCTTCCCTCCTCCCCTTTTTCCTCTCCCCCTTTATCTCTCCCCCCAGCCCCCAGCCAGGCCCAGAAGGGGAGGACATCTTCGGAACAGATGGCCGCCGTCCTCGCCCAGCGCTTTGCCAGTTAATTAACGCCGCCTGTAATTAAACTTCCCACAAATTAGCTGTCAGCGTCGCTAAAGGGAACCGTCCTCTCAGATGCCACCTTGACGAGCGGGATCCTGAGTCTTGTCAACAGGATAATTAAAGGGGGGGCGGGGGGCTCGCGGATTTTCCTCCCCTAATATCTCTATCTGCACCACGGTGGTGGGCCGCGGAGATGGGGGCGGGTTTTCCTCGTTTCATGAATTCGCATTTTGCATTGTGTTTTTTATTGAGGACCTACTGTGTGTGAGCACTGTGCTGGGGGCAAGCAGTGTCCAAGGTACCCGGTCGTTTGCCAAGCTTGACTGACATCCTGGGGTCACTTGCAAAAGCACTAGGGGGAGGACCCGGGAGTCTCTCGGTGTCTGTCTGTCTCTCTGTCTCTCTGTCTGTCTCTATGTATATATATTCTCTCTTTGGCTCTCTTTGGCTTTCTGTTGGTCTCCCTCTGTCTCTCTTTCTCTGACTCTGTCTCCCCCTCTCTCTGCCCCCCTCCCTCCCTGGCTCTTCTCATTTGCAACTGTCCCTTTTAACTGAATCCTTAAATCCTGCTTTAGTAGCAGATGCAGCCCTGGGGCAGTTTCTTCACACATAAAGCTATGAACAGCAAATAGCTGCTCCCCAAACACCGTGTACATGAGTCTACCCCACACAGCACCAGCTCTGCCCATGCACTGGGATATTAAACAGCTGTCAAAAAGGAACAGTGATTTACTCAAGGGCCTTAGAGTCTGGGGGTGTTGCACCCAGTTTGGGGTGCTGAACTGTGTCCTTGGTGCTTTACTGGGTGTCCAGTGCTACACTGAGCTCCAGGATGCAAATTCCTCTTGTTCCCATGTATGTGTGTGGGGGCAGGGGGCAGAGTGGCAGAGCGTTCTGACTCTCATAAGACACCCATGGAGGGACCTGAGGGCTGAGTCTGCGTAGAGACTACGAGGCCAACCTGGGCAGTGCCACACCCTGCCTCAAAAACAGTAGAAGAGCCAGGTGGGTTGGCTTCACGTTTGATCTCAGCACTTGTGAAGCAGAGGCAGGAGGATCTCTGTGAGTTCCAGAGCAGCATGGTCTACACAGGGAGACACTGTCTCAAAACAAAAACAAACCCAGAAAGACCCCAAAAGTGAAGGAATGACTGAACCTGAAGACCGGGCTACCCCAGTCAGTCAGCGGTCAACGACTGCCCAGCAGGGCCTGGGGTCCCACCCCCACATCCCAGACCAAAGTGAGACAAACCTCAGAATTCCCTGCTTCCTAAAGTCTTGTGTCTTAGAGGAGGCCTGGTCTTCCACTTTGCCTACCTTGGCCTCCATGGCCACACACTGGAAAAGCTGAGGCAGGAGGATTGTTATGAGTTCGAGGCCAGCCTGGACTACGATGGGAGTGTGTGTTCGTTCAAAATGAAAGAAAATAATAAAAATGAATCTAAAACAAAACATAAAAAGAATTGAAAGTCATAAAAAAAAAAAGACGAAGGCCGGCAAGATGGCTCAGTGCGCCGAGCCTAACGACCAGAGCTCGATCCCATGACAAGGTGGAAGGAGAGGCCTGACTTGAGCAAGCTGTCCTCTGACCTCCACAAGTGAGCGGTGGCACACATGTCCCCAGCCCCAACAAATAATAATAAAAAATGTCTTAATAGGATAAAGTGCAAAGTAAACTAATCTTAAAGACCAAATAACTTTAAAAAATAGAAAATAAAATGCACACTTGGCTGTTAGGGCACCGCATCCCATGTAAATGGTAGGCTGACACACCATAAGCGCTCCACAAATGTGCAGGGCGTGGCGGCAGGGTGTGAGTTGGCACACAGTAGGTGCATAAGGGTGCACACTTGCCATCCAGCACACCGGAGGGAGGCAGGAGGATCAGGGGTTCCAGGACAGCCTGTACTCCACACTGTCCCCGAGGCTAGCCTGGGCCACCGGAGACCTGGTCTCAGAAATTCACAACTTGAATATAAAAAGCGCTCCTTTCTGGAGAGTTCCCGTAGCCCCTTCTGCAAAGCGGCGAGTCCGGCCCGGAGGACAAGCCTGTGGCCTCGCAGAGACCAATCAGGACGCTAATCCTGGCATTACCTCATCGCGAAGCACGGCCATTGGCTGCAGGTCCCTGCTGCGGCCGAATCACCACAGCGCCTGCGCAGACTCCCGGGGCCCCTGCGGGCTGCTTTGGGGGTCAGAAGTGAAATGTGGGCGCCCCTCCCCCAGCTCAAAAGATACTAAAACCCTGCTCCCTGCCCCTGTCGTCCCAAATTCTGCTTGGAGATGCCCTGCCCCTAGTCACACCGCACCTCACTTTGGAGGCTGTGCCTGGAGTAGGGATGCAGCTGTGCAAAGGCCCGGGCCAGGGAACAAGGCCGTGCAAAGGCCCAGGGCAGGACACAACCTGCAATTAGAGGAGCAGGGAGGAGGTCTGTGTGGAGCAGATGTGGAGGCAGGAGGTGCAGGGCAGGGCGGAGAGAGCCTCATGGGCTTCAGAGAGGACTGGCCTTTGATCTGAAGGAGACTGGAGCCTTGGAGGGCCGTGGGCAGAGCGGGAGAGAGTTGACTTGGTGGTCACAGGAAGTAGATGATAGTGTAGACATTCTATGTTCTCTGTGTTGGAGGAAGTAGGTCGTGGGCCCCACCCCGTGGCTGGCTCGCTGAGCAGGAGAGGGGCTGCGGCTCCCCATGCTCCAGGCCAAATGCATGAGTAAGCCTCCGCAGGCGACAGTGGCAGCTGATGTATACACTAGGTGGTGACTCAATGCTGAGTCACATGAACCCCTGTGATGTTGCTTGCCAGGCTCAGCCGTTATGCATTCTAGGCTGCCCCAAGCCTCCCAGGTGCAGCTTTGTCTTAGCCTGACCACCAAATGCCACTCTGATGCCGGGATATGTCTTTGGTGTGGTCACCTGTCTGCCTTGAACCATCCATGGCTCCCTATTTTCCACAAAGTCCATTCTCCTCATGGTGGAGTCCAGACTATTTGTGGCCATTCTAGGTTCTGGCTTCCCTCCCGGGGCACCAGACACTGTCATTTGTCTGCACAGTGACTTCCAATTTGTCACCAAGCCCAGCCCTGCAAGCCCTAGCCTCCAGCAAGACTGTGCAAGGCTCTGCTATCCGGCAGCTGTGCCTGTCCCCACGGGCCACCTGTCTTTGAAGCCACCACAGTAGCTCCCTAGTGCCTGGCACACTCCTTCCTTTGTAAACATCCCGACTTAGCTTCTAAAATCTGCACCTTAGGGACTTTTGTCTTCACCAGTCT